ATGTGGGATCCGAACCGGGGCCCTCTGGCATCCCAAGCGAGTTCTTAACCATCGCGCCACTCGGCCGGCCCCCTCTGCCCATTTTTTAATGGGATTGTTTGGGGTTTTTTGGTGTTAAGTTGTATAAGTTCTTTATATATTTTGGATGTTAACCCCTTATCAGATGTATCTTTTGCAAATATCTTCTCCCATTTGGTAGGTTGCCTTTTTGGTTTGTTTATGCTTTTCTTTGCAATGCAAAAGCTTTTTAGTTTGATGCAGTCACGCTTGTTTATTTTTGCTTTTGTTGTCTTTGTCCTAGGAGACATAACCAAAAAATACTGGTAAGACCAGTGTCAGAGAGATTACTGCCTATATTTTCTTCTGGAGTTTTATAGTTTCAGGTCATTTAAGTCTTTGAGCCATTTTGAGTTTATTCTTGTATATGGTGTAAGAAGGAGGTCTAGTTTCATTTTTTTTTATTGTGTCTGTCCAGTTTTCCTAGCACCAATTATTGAAGAGACTATCTTCACCCCATTGTACATTCTTGCCTCCTATGTCATAGGTTAAGTGACCATATAGGTAGGTGTGGGTTTATTTCTGGGCTCTCTATTCTGTTCCATTGATCTATGTGTCTGTTTTTATGCCAGTACCATGTTGTTTTGATCATGGTAGCCTTGTAGTATAGTTTGATATCTGGTAGCATGTTCCTTCCAGCTTTGTTCTTTCTCAAGATTACTGTGGCTCTTCAGGGTCTTTGTGGTCCCATATAAATTTTAGGATTATTTCTTCCAGTTCTGTGAAAAATGCCATTGGTATTTTGATTGGGATTACATTGGATTTGTAGATTGCTTTGGGTATTATGGACATTTTAACAATGTTAATTTTTCTAACCTATGAGCACCATATATGCTTCCATTTATTGGTGTGACTGTCTCTTGAAAGGAGTACTTAATAATGTTGCAAAAGGAAGTCAGTGCTAGAACTTAGCAATTTAAAAACCAAAGGATACTACCTCTTAAGTACCAAATCCACTGCAGTAATAGAGTACTAAGATCTTTACTTTGGAGGTTGTCTTAGTTTGCTCAGGCTGCCATAACAAAATACCATAAACTGAATGGCTTAAACAACAGAAATTTATTTTCTCACAGTTAAGTTTGAAAAATCCAAGATCAAGGTTCTGGCTGCTTCCGTTCCTGGCGAAGGCTGTGTTTCTAGCTTCCAGGTGGCTGCCTTCTCCCTGTGTCCTCACATGGCTGAGGGGGGTTGGGGAGCTCTCTGGGGTCTCTTATAAGGACACTAATCTATATCTGGGCCCCACACTTGCGACCTCATTTAACCTCAATTACCTCTTTGAAGTCCCTATCTCCTAATAGCACTTCAACAT